GAGTGGCAGAGGAAAAATTACTTTGCTTCTTTGAGGTGTTTCTGGCTCGAAATCTGTTATCTAATCTGATGGCGAGACGAATAAAATCGTCAAGGGAAGCTGGTTCATCGAGGGTAGCAAGTTCATCCTTGATTTGTTCATTTAAAGCCATGAAAAATGCCCCCTTTAGAGCGCTCTGGTTCCATCCGGAAGCTGCCGCTTTAACCCGGAAGTTGATTGAGAAATCAGCCACAGAAGAATTTCCTTGTTTAAGGTTGAAAAGAGCTCTGGAATCGATCGTTTGGTCCGTCTCCTGGTTAAATACCTGGGAAAATTCAGCAATAAAGTCAGAAAAACGGCAATTAACACCGTCGTCGATGGCAAATCTTGCCTGAGCCCAATCTAAAGCTCTTCCTGTTAACTGAGAGAGGATGAACGATATCTTCTTGTGGTCTGAAGAAAAACAACTAGGAGAGTTCAGAAAAATCAGTCGGCACTGGAATAAAAAACCCTTACAATCTTTCATGTTACCAGAGAATTTTTCTGGGAGACTAGGACAGAACTCTGATGACGTCACAGGTTGTGACCTCGGGGGAGGAACTGGACCCGGAAATGGTTGCTGTGCTGATGTAGCATTAGCGCCATTGAAGTAGTTAACGTAGCCTTGAATAGCTTGGTTCTGTCTTTCAATATGTGCATTCAACTCACGTAAGGCCTGGCTGAATCCTTGGATTTGAGCAGCCTGTTCGTCTAGCCGACGGAGATGGTGATCTGCTGGGCCTTGAGTTTGGCCGCAGTGTTCTGTCATGATCGGTTCTCTAAGAGAGACCCAAAGATGCAGAACACCACTGACGGACACAGGATGAAAAGTTTAACAAGTTTATTTGCACAAGCACGTAATATGCAGATGACTGGTTTGGGCCTGGAATCTGGTTTCACCGGAGTCTGCATGAGAGACAACACAGTTAAGGACTGTTGACGGGGTTTTGGTTTCCAATGGTGCTCTGATAGTACCTTGAGGGTTCTTGAGGTTCTCCTTGGGAGAGTCACTGTTGGTTCTGGAGAAGGATGTGTTAGCAGAGTCCGTTAGCTGCTTCAGCGTCTCACGTCTTATTAGGACAGACCTTGGCTTGGGTTTTCCTAGCTCTTGCCCAGAGCTGCTTAGAGGTTGACTGAGAATCTTCAGGGTTTGGCTCGGAGGGTCGGCTCGGCAGGTTAGCTCTTCCAGAGCTTTCACGGAGGAAGCACGAGTCACCTAGAGGCACAGAGACAAACGTTAGAATCCGACTCGGGATTAAGGACATGGAAAAATCACTGAGATCAAGGCTTTAGCGCTGACCAACTGGAACAACACTGCGGCGTTGAGGTAAGGTCTGAAGGCAGCTTAAGTAGTGGATCCTCTGATGGTCTTGATGAGCTGCACCTGTGCAGGAGGCTCCCTCAGAGGATCCACGGCGGACTCTGCTGGAGAAAAGTGGTATTTTCTCCAGCTCCCAACAAGAGCTAAGAGACTTTGGTGCACAAGTTCTCTCTCATTTTGCTAAAGCTTGTGAAACTCATAGTCTGCCTGGTCTTTCTTTTTATAGGTTAGGACATTAAAATAAACTTATGAAGAATTACATTCACACTATATTCAACCACCTATGTGTCATCAGCTAATGTCTGAATTTGTGCTAAATAAATTGATTATGTTTTTGTTACAAAAAATTAAAATAAGACTTAAAATTAGACTGGCAAAATACTTCTCACAAGGTCCTGAATTTCAACAGCTTACCCACTCTCAATAAGGTTTAGACAGACCACCGTGAAAGAAAAATGTCCTGAAAATGTCCTTTGAACAAAAATGTGTAAAAGCATCTGCAATTCTGTTTGGGACTCAACATATCCTCCCTTGCAAAAATGCCATAGTAAGCCCCCCCCCTTGACCATTCAGAGCACCTATGTAAAAGCTCAATCTAGCACTGGAAATGACTTTAAGCAAAGTTTTGCTGAAGGCAGTAAAGGTTGCTGATCCACCAGTGACTGTGGAATGTCTGTGTATTTAGTGGGATTGCAAATATAGAAGGGGTTTATACACATCTGCAAAGTGTTGCTTCTGTTATTTTGCATGCTTGATGGATGGCTTCACTTTTTAGCGTGGCTTTCATGCTGATGCATGTGTATGTTTATGTCTCTGTTTCTCTTTTTGTGTGCAGCTATGTTAAAATCCAAATGGCAGTGTCTGTGATTGATAAAACTAAAACTGTCCCCTGTCGGTGCAGCATAATAAATTACACTTGACAACAACAAAGTGTCCACAGATGACAGCAGGACGCACCACAGCACCAATAAATCTATATTTTCCCTTATGTTTGTTCATTTACTCTCTCTTCTTCCAGCAGAGGTCTCATTGCCAAGTTGTACAAGAGGTTTTATCCTGCTTTTGAACAAATGGGAAGAGAAAGTGAGTAAGCCTGCATATGAGAGTGAAAGAGCTTAATGATATATCAGCAAGGGGCCTTGAAAGCTCACAATGGCTAATGAGTTTTCATTTAAACTAATAGAAGGTTGCAACAAGATATACAGTATTAATGTATACTGTGGATCCATAGTTGGTCGGTGTGTGAAGGTAAGTGAATAGTATGTTTAGTTTTATTTGATTAGAATAAACTTACTATAATAAGGTAAATTTTATATTATTCAGAAGGATGTTACAACAGTGCTCGTCAGAAGCATGTAGAATCATAATTGGCAAGAATGCATGAATTCTTACTTTGTCAGCTGAAAGACTGATATTTAACTTCCACAGATTCCAGGTAAGCTTAAAATGAACTAGGCTACTAGGAGTTATGTCCTTTCTATGTCTATCTTAATGCCAGATTAAATTATGATACACAATTGAAAATACATGTATACCCCCTTGAAATATTTTGTTCTTTCTTTTGTTAAACCTCACCCAAGTGATTTCTTCAGATGTCACCAATTACTTTCCATAATTCTGGCAGAGTTTTTACCACTCATCTGGGCACAAATGTTAATTCTTGGCTTTGACCAGGCCTTTAAGTTTTTTCGATTATTTAAAATAGAACAATGGTCAGCAGGAATGAAGGTCTGGGGTCCGTTTCACAAAGCAAATTTAACAAACCCAGATTCAAATCCTCAACTCTGAATTGATCTAGTCTAATGTCTGGAACTCTGAGTTGCTATGAATTAGTTCAATCAACTCTAAATAGTTCCACTTAGAGTTTAACACCTGCATAACATAACCTTATCTGGTGAGCCCCGATTCATTGAGTCACCATGACATAAACAATAACATCATAAACATCATAAAACATGAAATGCCTATTTAATGCCATTGTAATTAACTAGATTTAATCAAGATAAATTAACCTATTTAATCAACTGGAATCCCATTAGAGATTTCTATGCAGAAATGGAAAAAAAAAAGGATAATGTGTTTAAAAGCCAGAGAAACAGCGCTACAGCTGCAAAGGAGAGGAAGATGGCTAAGGAGAAGATTGTTAGTCATGACAATGTGTAAGTGGGCTACGGTAGGCCATTTTTACATTTCTTTTTTAAAAAAATCCTCTGTGTTGTTCCATTTGTAGATCACTAAAATAAGATTTTTCCTGTTCAAAATCACACTCCTAGAATGAACAGTAATAATATATTTTCTAAATTACATTTTTGCTGCAGAAACTGAAGCTTAGGAAGTAAAAATACAAAATGATTCTAGTAAGAATTACGTTTTATAAAATTAGAAATGTTTAATCCTTCTAAGTGGTTGTTTGACATTTATCAGCTTGACTGAATATGTATTTATGATATCTGAAATACATTTCTTCATTGCAAAAATAATAAGAATGCTGACCAGTAACAAAAGGAATATAGATATCTTAAAATGATTTCCAGAATGTTTATTCTAGATGTGAAGAATTATATTTTGTTTGAAATAGTCATTTTGACAAGTAACAAAATGTTTTCTCCGACATCAGGAATACATATTCAGTAAAAAATAATATATATCAAAATGGCTTGCTAAAGCCTGTTGACAATGAAAACATTACAGGTTTATTTCTTGAAGGGTAGTGTATCATGTATTCTATTTAGGTGAACTCACCCCTCAGCAGGTGAAAATTAAGTCTTAAGACGTTGACCAAAAAGGCTCATCATCTCACGGGGACCTCCTCAGCTTGATTCTTTCTTCTTTTTCACAGTAAATACTAAGTGGCTGTTTGCAGCCTCTTCTGAGGTTATCATCACAATAAATGGTCATTATTAGAGGTTATCAGTCCCAGAGAATGGCTTCAGATTGTAAAAGTAGACTCAGTAGGTTGTTATTACCAAGTGAATCCTAACCCTAAGATAAGTCCTTTTCCCCTTGTGGAATTAATAAATCTATTTATAAATAATCTGACAATAATTTTAGTAGTTCTTCATGTATTGTAAAGATAAATACATACAATAAAATTATGAGCATATCACACATACTAAACAATCCAAAATGAAGTAAATCTCATATCCTTTCAAATGAGTTTCAAAATCCGCTCCCTATAAATATTTAATTCTCTGTGAAAAAATTATAGAAAACTTAAGGTTTCCACTAAACCTTCTTAGAGAAATGGACCCATGAAGACCTGTCTTCGTCTTGAGACAAGTCTCAGCCACTGATCTGTCTTTATTCACTGGTTTGCCGATTGCCCGAAAAAAGTGAAGCCACCATCCGCCATGCTGGCAATCCCCCTCTCATGGCGACGAGTAGTAAAAACATCTATATGTGTAGCCTTTGGCTGCAAAAACAAGCAGTTTGCCGGCTGTGGGAAGTTGTTTCACAGGTAATTTCACAATCAGTGGTTGTACTAACTGAGAAAATACATATATACCGCAACGTATCTCATATTGTAGTATGTAGCGACATAAATACATAAATAGAAAGTGGAGTAAATAGAAAGTAATTCACAGTGAAATGTCAATGTAGTAACTCAATATTAAGTATATAATGCTGTCGTTTTTGTAGTATATATATATATATATATATATATTGTCAGGACTCAGCAGTTAGTGCCGTGCAGTTTTCTGCCTCTGGTCTCTCTACAGGTGACTGCAGTTGACAGGTGGGCGGGGTACACACCTGAGGCTCATTCAGCGGTGTGTGGCTGCATTATAAGAACAGCTCTCTGACAGCTGGAGGATGCCAGAGTGTTAACCTTGTGTGGTACGCCTCAGTTGGCCACTCTATTCTGACAGCTCAAGCGTTGCTTGCGTTAATCCCCTTCTCCTATGTCTCTCAGGTATCTTCACGCCCTGAATCTCACTCACTGCTCTGATAAGAAGGGATAATAAATAGAATTTAAAAGGTAACACTTCTCGTACAATTTTCAGTTCCCCCCTCAATGTGGATTGTGAACATTGTTTATAATAATTATTAATTTAAGCATGCATAATCTCAGTCTCGAAAATGTATTTTCACATTGTGGTTCAACTTTTTCAGCTATAAAAAGTGTTCATGGTTATATAAATAACTGAACACCTGAGCTATCTCTATAGTTATGCTGCTATAGGCTTAAAATCTATCTCTATTCTTCCATTTGTTAGTTTAATCTCTTAACCTTATGCTCTATCTGCTTTTACGAATTAAAGTAGCCTCATTTCTAGTTCCAATGGTGTTAAATAGGTACTTCCTGTTTCCTGTTGTCAAAAGGACTTATCAAATCTGAACTCCACTGATATTGCCTTTTTATAGTTATTAAATATGTGCTTAACTCTTAGTGGACCTTCTCAGAGTTGAATAGAATAAATCCAGCAGCTGTTGTGCAACTGAATACTTAGAGTTTCCAACTTTAGGCTATATCATTTCAGAGTTGAGGATTTTAGTCATTTAAACCTTCGTGAAACGGGCCTCCAGAACCCAGGACACTCTAACTAAAAGGCACAAGAGCTACAAAATGCATCACTGTTCAGCTCTTTCACTTCATCACATGAAACTTAGTTAAGCACCTAACTTGTGTTGACATGTTTCCTTGTTTCATGCCAGGTCCAATAGAAGATTAGCGAGAACATTGACATTCTCAGAACAACTTCCCACATTTTATAATACAAAAGAATATAGCCAAAAGAGCTTTCTATCAGACAGAACAAACTTTCAGAAAGAGTGAGTTATGATCAGTACAAGGTGAGAACACACAAGATCCACAGCAAGATCCATAAACACTAACTGGCAAGCTAAGCTGGCAGATACTCTCCAACCTCCTTTACTATCATAACACACACCCACACTCGCTCACACTGTGGGAAGTGTCCTAAGGACATGGATATAGGTCCTCCCTACTAAGTAACAGGGGAGGTGGTGGCCACCATGCTGCCTCATTGATTTATCCAACAGCTTGCTCCTGTTAGAGAACCCAGCTGTCTCTGTCATCTCAGCACACAGACACACATCAGTGTTGCCTTTCTTAAGGCACAGAATTCACGCACAAAATGTGCCCCATTCACATACACTCCTTTGTTGATACCCTGCCAACTGCTGCTTCTGTCACTCTACCCCATTTAATCTGTGCTTGGCCTAATGCCAGTGGTGCAGTGAGTGTCTGTGTGTGTTTTTGGGGAGTACAGGGAGGAGTCTGGAGCTTGTTCATTCTTAATGTCTGCCAGGAACCATTTTTACCTCATGCTGACTTTTTATTATGGCTGTGTGAGTACAGGCAGGCTCTACTGACCCATCACTTTTGCTGATGGTCTTTTTTGATGGAAAACTTAACTCCCCTGCCTGTCCCCATCTGTGTACTTCAGATATGAAACTGCTGGGAGATTTGTCTCTAATTTCTAAGTGTTTTCCACGGATTCCATATTGTTTTTTTATCATTAAGAACTGCTTTAATTTTCACAGTTAAAATACTTTTACTTCAGCTATAGTAACATAGAAACAACCTGCTTACATCCACTCACAGTGAATAGAAATATTATCGGGTTAAATATGGAGGCCATATTTAATACTGTTTCATATTTGGATGCGAGGTCGTCCTAATCATATTATAAGGAGGTGAGATCGCCAAGGTTGCACAATTACACATTCTCAGCAGCCTTTCACCCCTTTTTCACTTTCCTCATCTCTACCAAGTCACACAGATTAGGCTCTCTCACTCTATTCTCAGCAGAGGTTCAGGAATCACATGCTAAGCTTTGAACATGAAAGAGAAAGCTGAAAAACAACAAGAACAACAGATCACTTCATGTGTCTAGGAGTGTTTGTGTGTTTCTGCTAACTTGAAGGCATTTTTTTTAACTCACTGAGGAATCTTTTCTTCTAACGTGGCGTGTGTGCATAGTTACAATGTTATTTTGAATGTGTCTGAGTTTGTTTGTGGGGGTCCTGACTTTCATTCTTAGCTGTTGCCTTTACCTGTGTGGATCTATCAATGCGTATGTAGATATGAAAGCATGTATCATTGTGTGTTTGTGTAGAAAAACTCTTTAACAGGTTTACTGGCACCTGTTTGCCAAAATATCCTGAGTGAAGTAGGTATGTGTCTGTGTCAAGTCATTAAAACTTTGGTTTTCCTCAGCATGCGTCTGAAACCAAGTAATGGGGAAACTTTTTTTAAGCCCAAAGAGATGGAGTTTTTGAAAAAAATATTGCAAGAACATACAAGTCTGTACCTTAATTTTTTCTGCACAAGGCGCCTGTCTGTTCAGTTGCTCTTTATTGAGGATAAAGCCCTGCATGAACAGAATTTCAGGATGGGCTGGATGTACAATGTTGCCAGTGTAAATCTGACAGTTTTGGTGCACAAAAGAACCACCCAGCAAGGAGTTAGACAGAATAAAGCTTGCCATCAAAAGACTCCACAGGATGTCACTTAAAATAAGCCTCTGGATAAAACAAGAATGTAGATAAAGAATGCCATGCACATGACTAGCTCAGGTAAAATGGTTTTTCTATTTCAAAGTGAAACAATCTTCTCTCAGAAACCCACAAGCCCTTAGTATAAATTCAAATTGGATTCATTCAAAATGGATTCAAAAGTTTAGACACAATAATATGTACTTAAAGTATATGACGTGAAAGAAAAATCACACATGTAGCTTAATTGCACCATATAGTTCAGTTCTGTCAGTTATGAATAAAGTGGAATTTTCCATTTATTTCCCTCAAAGACTACAGTTCTTTTTTTGTTGATTCTTAAAATTCTGCTCCTGTACTCACCTTAAATGGCCAGGTGTTGAAGTAAGACTAAGACTAAAAAAAGAAATTGGTTTGAAACATCATTCTTTATTCATTGTTCTCTCTGTTATTTGAGGTTCTGTTTGTCTTTGATACAAATGAGGAATTTTTGTTGTTCTTTAAAATCATTTAAATTAGTTATATATTCAATTCAGTTTATTTTTATAGCACCAATTCACAACACATGTTATCTCAATACACTTTACAGAGACAATTCAACCAGATTATACAGATCATACAGATTGGAAGTTTTCTATATAAGGAAAACCAGCTGATTATATCGGCTTATTGACTCGAAGCAATCCCTCCCACCAAGCATGCTTGTAGCCACAATGGATAGGAAAGCTCCCTTTTAATAGGAAGAAACCTCCTGCAGAACCAGGTTGATTGTGACCGACCATCTGCTAATGCTGACTGGGGTTCGAGGACGCAGGAGCAGGGATAGAAAAAGAAGAATAGATACAAAAGGCAACTGTCAACCGACTCAACCGACGGCCCTGTTTATGAAATACACAGTCAGGCAGACAAGCTCCAAGTCAGCTCCAATGTCAGAGGCTGAAGAGAGCACATCCAGCCAGTCACAGTAGGACCAGGACTACACTGAAGAAAAGGGCAAGCTCCAACATATAGTCAATAAACAAAGGTGTTGATGGTAGCAGCTCAGCTGATATTTCTCTCCAGGATGGTGTTACAGCCAAACAGGAACAGACCAGATGAAGCTACCATGATGAGGAGAGAGCATAACTGTAGAGATTTAACTAACAAACACTGCGGACTGAGAGAATAGAGATGGAATGAAGCACAATGATGAAAAGAGGTCCTTATGTCCTCCAGCAGTCTACGCCTATTGTAGCATAACTATAGAGATAGCACTGTTGGGAGCTGGAGAAATCCCATCTTTCTCCAGCAGAGTCTGCCGTGGATCCTCTGAGGGAGCCTCCTGCACAGCTGCAGCTCGTCAAGATCATCAGAGGATCCACTACATAAGCTGTCTTCAGACCTTGCCTCAATGCCGCAGTGTTGTTCCAGTTGGTCAGCTCTAAAGCCTAGATCCTCAGTGTATCTCCATGACTTTGAATCCAGTCTGGATTCTAACTACTGTCTCTGTTTTCCAGGAAACCCGTGCCTCCTCTGTGAGAACTCTGGAAGAGCTAACCTGCCAAGCCGACCCTCTGAGCCAAACCCTGAAGATTCACAGAGAACCCCCAAGCAGCTCAGGACTAGAGCTGGGAAATCTAAGCCAAGGTCTGTTCAAGCTAAGACGTGAGACGCTGAAGCAGCAAACGGACTCTGCTGACGAACCCTTCTCCAGAACCAACAGTGACTCTCCCAAGGTTAACCTCAAGATCCCTCAAGGTACAATCAGTGAACCTGTGGAAATCAAACCCTGTCAGCAGTCACTAACTGTGCTGTCTCTCACGCAGACTCCGGTGAACCAGTTTCCAGGCCCGAACCAGAATCAGTACATTCTGTTTGTTTTGTGCTTTAATAAACTGTTCAACTTTTCATCCTTGTGTCCGTCAGTGGTGTTCTGCATAACTGGGTCTCCTTCAGTGAACCCATCATGACAAGCTCAGATTAATCTGAGCCGCTCTAACTAATCTAAAAGCTTTATCCAAAAGGAAGTTGTAAGCCTACCCTTAAAAATAGACAGGGTGTTTGCCTCACAGACTAAAACTGGCAGTTGGTTCCACAGGGGAGGAGCCTGATAACTAAAAGAACTGTTTTCGATTTTACTTTTAGAAATTCATGGAGTCTAGGAGGGTACCTGGAATCTGCCCTTATAGGAGGTGGGTTTTGTTATGATCTTGGCACTAATGACTTGCTAAATTACTTACCTTTCACCAGTCTAACTCTGCCCGGTTTCTCATCCCTGCTCATCAGATCCACCTGCTCCTGACTCTATTTAAAATGCTTGCATCCAGTCATTAGAGCCAGATAATTCTTGTTCACTCTAGCCAGTGTTGAAAGCGTTTTCGGCTTTCCTTGGTGTTTCTGATTTCTTGATCTTGACTTGTTCTGCCTCTCAAACACCAAGCCTGCCTGTTCCAAACTGAACCATTTGCTTGAACTGTCTTTGGGCTCCTGGATCCCTGAGCCCACTTGTTTCTGTTCTGATCTGTTTGTCTGACCTGGCTTTGGTCCCCTGGACACCTGAGTTTGCCTGTTCTGATCTGGGCAGTGTCCACCACATCTTGTTGGCAGCCCACCGGCTGGATCCTACCTTTTTCCCTGGGCATGGTCTGAACTTGAGGTGGCGAAACGTCAAGATTTGAAGACGTTTCGCCACCTCTCTAGGAAGCTTTCTCAATTGAGCTTTCTCAATTGAGAAAGCTTCCTGTAGAGGTGGCAAAAACGTCTTTCAAATCTTGGAAACCAAGCCCAGTGGATATTTTTTGAAATTTTACGGAATGACTATGACCTGGATGACTGAGAACCTTCATCAGTGTTAGTGACTCTCCTTCATAATCTTCCTCCATACGATTTATATGGTCACTAACCTTTGTGTCTTTCCTGCAAATTTTCCAGAATCAGACACCCTAGCCGATGCTACTCAGATCCGCCAGTTTTGAATAAACGCTTGAGTAATCCCACTGTCTGTCTGGCTATGAATACTAAGTCCTCTGTTCTGAGTCATGATGAGGCTAGGATAGGAGAGATATGATCTCTCTTTTTAGTGTTCATCAGAGCTCTGGCTGCAGCATTTTGAATCTGCTTAAGGCTTTTAACTACAGTGTGTAGATTTTAGCTGAGTAGCATCAGCATAACAGAGGAAATTAATCCCCTGCTCTCTAATAATTATACCAATTGGGAACACATATAGTATAGAGAATTGGTCCTAGCGCTGATCCCTGTGTAACTCCACCGGTTATCCTGGAACATGAGGAAGATTTATCATTATCATGAACAAACCAAATATGATTTTAACTAGTGTAGTAGTGTTCCTTTAATTCCTATAAAATATTCAAGTCTTTATAAAAGAATAATAATATGACCAACTGTTGTGTTGTGTTGCTGTATTGAAGTAATCGAAATTAAGTAGCCTCAGTCTGGTTCAGCTTCAGTCCTTTCTTTTTATTCTCCGTCTCCTTCCCCTCCTCACTCACATACAGCAGTATCACATATCCATGTACCGAGCTCCCCCTACTGTCCTTTTGGTGCAATAACAGAACATAACATTTCCCTTTTCCTGAAGCAATTACTTACATGTAACATTTGCAGTGCATAACTCACAGCAGAAACTAAGTTTGTAACATTATCAATTTAAATGTTAACCATGAGGATTATAGTATGAACATTTACCTTTTGTATATATTTTTTGTTTATTTTACTTTAGTAGCACAGTAGTATATTTTTACTTGTCTTGCAGAACAATAAAACCAATCTGAACAGCAGTGATTCACATTCAGTTTCACTTTTCACTTTATCTTACAAAACCCGTCAACCATCTTGGTGCATTTCTGGGTCTCTGACTTCTTCGCGGTACAGCAGGAGATTCATTGCTGTTTCCCGGCAGAGCAAAGGTATCAAATACAGCGTCACTATTTTCTTCTGTACCAGCAATGATTTGTTTTGAGAAGTGTGCAAGTTTTGAAGCATTCCACTTGCGTCCGTCATTTAGTAAGAAAGTGTTTTGTCCAACTTTCTTCATGACAGTCCGTGGTTCTGTAAATCTGGAAGATCCTTTGGATACGTACCCTGGTCTGCGAATACGAACAGTGTCACCCACTTTTACTGTTGGTACTTTGGCTCTCATTTTCTTGTCTGTGTATTCCTTCATTTTATTTTCTTTCCACAGCACCATTCGCTTTAGGGTAGTACACACTGGACCTTAAGTGCTGTATCTCTCTCTCCTTCAGAAAAGTACTAAATGCATGAGAAGTAAACTGACAACCATTATCCGAAACAAGGTACATCGGATTACCTTCCCTACTGAACACAGCGGCTAAAAACCGAATTATAACCTCTGTAGTGACAGTAGAAGCGAATGCAACCTCAGGCCATTTGCTGTAGTAATCTGTAAGTACAATAGCATAACGGCAGTCCCATGCAGCATTTTCAAATGGACCTGTAATATCTATTGCAACTTTTTCCCATGGTTTACTAGGGAATTCAACCGGAGTAAGTGGAGCAGGAGCAGTTACTGCCACCTCATCACTGTATTGGCAGTTAACACAGGAAGCAATAACAGAATGTACAAATTTGTCCAATTGTGGCCACCAGAAAAGTTCACGCAGTCTCTGCTTGGTACGGACAATGCCTTGATGTCCTTCATGTGCTAAATCAACAACTCTGGCACGAAGCGAAGCAGGAACAACTAGTCGATCTGTCAATCTCAATACCAGTGAACCATGAACTGACAACTCATGTCGAACCTGAAAATATGGAGCAAGGTTCTCTGGAAGACCGTTTTTGCATCGGGGCCAACCTTTTTCAATCTGGTTGCGCAGTAGGGACAGTTCTGGACAGGTTTCACTGGCAGAAGTGAACTCTGGAAGAGAAATGGCACACAATGACTCTTTAAAAACAGCTGCAATCATGTCAGGTTCCTCTGTTGTCTCGGGTTCCACAGTTAGTGGTAATCTGGACAGGCAGTCAGCAGTAACGTTTTGGTGTCCTGGGCGGTAAGTGACGTCATACGTGAAGCAGAGTAGTCGAGCGGACCATCTGGCAATCCTTAGTCCAGCACGGTCAGAACCTTTAGAGGTGAGTAACGTTGTAAGTGCTTGGTGATCTGTACGGAGAACAAAGTGACGACCCCATAGATATGTTCTCCACCTTTCCACAGCCCAAACACAGGCAAGAGCTTCTCGTTCGACAGTGGAGTACTTGCGCTCAGTAGAAGAAAGAGTCCTGGATGCAAAAGCGACAACTCTCTCACTTTGATCCGAATGCAATTGAGTTAACACTGCGCCCAGTCCATAATCTGAAGCATCAGTGGTAACATATGTTGGTAACTCAGGATCATACAGAGCTAAGGCAGGACTGTTGACTATCAGTTCTTTAAGTGTAGTGAAGCTAGATTGTGCTTCTGCTGTCCATTTGAAGCTTAAATCTGTGGAGTCTCTGAGCACCGCACGTAGTGGCTCACTAACAGTTGCAAAATCTGGAATGAACTTACTGTACCACGATGCAAGACCAAGGAAAGATCTCAGAGAAGATGTGCCGTGTGGAGCTGGTGCATGAATGACAGCAGTGACCCTATCCTGATCTGGTTGAAGGCCTTCTTTTGAAATAGTGTGACCCAGGTATTTTAGTGAAGGTTGATTGAATTTACATTTATGCATGTTTAGCTTAAGTCCAGCATCAGTCAAGGCTTGAAGCACTCTCCTTAGATTTTCATCATGTTCCCTTTGTGTAGAGCCATAACAGATGATGTCATCCAGGTAAGCTTGAACACCTGGAAAACCTTTCAGGATAATTGACATCATTTTCTGAAACGCTGATGGGACAGAAGCTAAGCCAAATGGAACTCTACAGAAACGAAAAAGTCCATCATGAGTGATAAAAGCTGTAATATCACAACTTTCAGGATGCAGAGGCATTTGGTAGTAAGCAGATGCTAAGTCAATTGTGGAAAAAACAGTAGCCCCCCGTAGATTTGAGAACAGTTCATCCATGTGTGGTAATGGATGGCAATCAGCAACAATAACTTTATTTGGCTCCCTTAAATCAACACACATACGTGGCTTTCCCCCATCTCTTCTTTGCGTCACGACTATGGGAGAAACCCAAGGAGAAGCATCAATACGCTCTATAATGCCCTTATCCTGGAGATCTTTGAGCTCCTCTGAGACAGCTTGTCTCACAGAAAATGGGAGTCTCCTCAGTTTTTGACGCACTGGAACAGCATCTGGCTGTATATGTACTTTGTGTATGAAGTTTTTAGCATAGCCAACTTCCTGAACCGACACTTCTGGAACATGGTCTGATACCGTTTCTG